AGAGGAATCGATGGGGGTTGAGGGTATAGAATTATTTAGGAATAGTATATTTGGTTCATATTTGAATATTCCTAAATGTAATTACCAAGGTCAGATCACAAAGTGTTTACTCCTTTTAGAGGTGGAGCAAGATAATCTAGCCGAGGAGCTTCACATTCGTCATGCTAAAGGAAATATCTTAACCTTTACCATGAAAGAATTTGCAATTATTACTGGATTTAAATGCAATGGAAATATTAAGAATTTTACATATCCAGATTCGAAAAGAAGTAGGCTAGTTCAGAGGTATTTTCCGGGGCCTAATTACAGTGTAAATAAACAACGTCTGGTAGATCGATTTATGTTGGGTGGTGGGGATGATATTGATGATCAACTTCAGATGACTATCATGTTTTTCATCCACTCTTTTGTATTATCTCAACTTGGAACTGCAACAATTCCAATTGAAGGTTTTTTAATGGTTGAAGATGGCACTTATCGGCAGTACCCGTGGGGTCAACGTGCTTTCAGAAGTTTAATGAATTCACTTAGACAAGAGTTTGAATCAGAGAAAAAAATGTATCGATTAAATGGTATGCCATATGCACTTAATGTATGGATATATGAATGTGCTTCTGTGTTGGATAATGAGATTGCAACTAAAGAACAAAATCTTATTCCAAGAATTTGCAATTGGAAAGTTGTGGCTGAAAAGCCCAAATTTGAGATGTTTATGGAAAGCGTTTTCACTGGGGTAATTAATATATAATTGTTTTTAGTATTTTTTTGTTACTTATCGATACATTTTTTGTTCGTTCTAACAATGATTCAATATTTTGTTATTTTTCAGCATAACTGTACAAATATTCAGCCAACTGGAGAGGAATGTACAGCACTGCAATTACCTCAACCCAGTTATGTAACTCATGATGAACCTGGTACATCAAATGTTAATATTGATGTTGGGAAGCCACAAGAGGTTCCTGGATTTGAAGACTTTTCATCTGAACCACCAGATCAATTGTTGAGGAGATCAACACGAGTCTCTGGCATAGGATCTACCCCACCACCGAAGAGAAGAAAGGTTGTACATCCACATAAAACAAAGGTTTCCAAATCAACAACAGTAGAAAAGCAACGAACTCAGAATGTTTACACTCCAGATTTACCAACTTTTCAAGCTGACAATGTATCTAATGTTCCCGTAAATTCAGATTTTCAAAAAGTAATTTTCGAAAATTCACAATTAGAGGGACTGAAGCAATACTTGAAGGGTTATGTTAGTATTATAATCATATATTTTTTTGTGATTATCTTATATGTTTTATAATTATTGTTATTGATTACGAATTCTTTATAAATTGTGCAATTTGCATATAGGTTGACCAACAAGTTGGTTGTCTTGTGGAGTTGATTAAAAAAAATCATTCTGAGTTGATGAAAGTTGTTGGAGAAAGACAACAAAACTGAAAAGGTATTATTTTTCTTTTTTTTGTTTCATTTTCATTGACACCTATCGATTTTATTTTTTTGAACAGAAACATACTATTGATTAAGATATTGGTGGATCTGCTGTTGATGCTGATGAATAGGTTAATGAAACTGAAAAGGTATTATTTTTCTTTTTTTTTGTTTCATTTTCATTGGCACTTATCGATTTTATTTTTTTCAACAGAAACATAATTTTGATCAAGATATTGGTGGATCTACTGTTGATGCTGATGAACAGGTTAATGATATCAATATCGAAAAAGTTTTTATATGACACTTAAAAATAATTTTTTTATTCATCTTTTTATTTTCTGCCTTTTAATTTAATAGAATTATGTATTATGTTTTGGTATTGTACAGACAGATAAAGTGGACCAACAATCTGTTTCACCTAATCACATGGATTGTTCAAAGGAACAACAGATGGAGGATGTCGTAGAGGTTATACACTCACCACAGCGTAGTCATGTTTTGATTGAAAAAGTTTCTCTTAATAATGAAAATGTAAGTACAAATATTATGAATCAGTATACATTAAATTTTTTGTTTGTGTCCGAATTTAGTCTAACAAAATATTTATTAGAATTATACAACTGGTGAAGCCTCTCACTCAGACACAAAGATTTTAAATGCGGATGAACATGATGTGATACACTTCAGCACAACATTGAAAAGCACACTACAAGTATATTTTCTGTTGATACATCTACAGAAGTGGAAAACAATGTCCAACCACTATGTTTGATTAGTCATGTGGAACAAAATGAGAGTGCTTTTTGGTTATCTGATAGCCAACTACCCACCCAACTACGTGTAAAGAAATCTTCACTTCCTCCTGATACTGAGACTCCAGCACCACGACACAGGATGCCTGCAAGAATTTTACGGTCTCTATATTTGACAGATTTTGGATCCAACGATTAAGGCAAGGCAAAAATAGATGATGATGTTCTCCCACTCTATCCATTTGAAGGTTGTGGTATTCTTGAACAATTGCCATTAGGTATGATGGACGAGTTCTCGCAATGGATTGAAAAAGGTCTCTTAAAATCACCTGCGAACAAGTAAGTTATTATAATATGTCTTGCTAATTTTGTGTTGTATAATATTATTTTAATTTGTTTCTAAAAATTATATATGTGTGTAGGAAACAATCCGAGGACAAATACAGAGCAAAGTCTACTTCATTTGGTGTTGATTATATTGATTTTGTTGTCGCATTCCCTATGGACAAGAATTGGTTTTATACCATGTCACAACCGAATAGATGTTGGACTGATGAGGTATCATATACATTATTTTGTCAAATTTTGATTTTTAGGTATCACTTCAAAACTTACTATATTATATCTAGTTAATAATAAGTATCAAATACTAATACACTTTTTTGTATCATGTTGTTATTAATATGATTGTTATTAATATTAAGTATCAATTTGATTATTTAAAATATATTTATCAGTTAGGGTATCAAATTAGTTCCTGCATATGTTTTTCACTTATCAAATACATTTTACCATGTACTATGTTTTCTCTTAGTTTGCAGCATATAGATGTAATCTTTTACTATCTCCGCAAGAAGTCCAAACAAAGAAGCATGGATCAGTATAGATATACTACAGTCAATTGCTTGTTTAAGTCTCATATAAACAAAGCATATTCAAGGTATTATAACAGTCATGCAGATGATACAATTACCACACAAGAACACATGATTCGTGCTGCTGCCGTATCAGTTCATGAAAGGTCTATCATTAACATCATTAATGGTTTTTCTATTCCTGCTGCTTTACCATGGCATTTAGTAGATGAGGTTTACATTCCTATGAACTGTGATGAAAATTTCCATTGGGTGTTGGCTGTTGTGGTTCTAAAAGAAAGGCTTATAAGGGTGTATGACTCAACTTCGAGATCAAGGAAGAGAGTTCATTTTACAGACATCAAGAAGTTGTCTCAAATCCTTCCAAACTACCTTCATGATAGTGGCTTCTTTGAAAAAAGGAGCGAACAGATTGGGCAGCATTGGATGCATATAAAGACATGAAAACTGGAGAAATTTTGGGTCCACAACATTCGTTTAATGTGGAGTTTGCTCAAGACAACATGCAACAAAAAAGTGATAGCCTGTGAGTATTGTTTATTATTTTATTTTATTTTTTGTATCTAATTCATCCTTATAATTAATCTTATTATTTTTGTAGTGATTGCGGACTGTTTGTAGCTGTATATGCAGAATTTTTGAGTGACAAAATCAATATGTCATGTAATAGTTTTGAGAGTAGCTATCTTAGCAAAAGATATGCGATTCTTTTATTGAAGTATGGTCTCGACAAGATGAATGCTGGATATGTTAGCAACAGTGATGACCGTCCAAGAATGAAGAATGTATTAAACCCATCATCTGAAGATGAAATTGTTAATGTAGGCTAGTTAATTTTCAATGTTTGATTTTTTTGTTTGGAGTTAAACAAGATGTTTGAAGTATTTATTAACATAACAACACATATTGTTAAATTATGAAAGTGTTTTGATTTTTAAAATGGTTTATTCTATTACTTTAATTTTTTTAATCACCGTTATGAATTCAGGAATTATGTATACTGTTAGTGAGACATTAATGTCATTATTGTATCAAAACTATAATAATAATTACACTAATGTAATTATTGTCATTAAAAACACTTATTATATATACGTAAATATATTGTATGATACAAAAAAAATAAAATTATGTACGTAATTAAATTATGTATATGATACATGATTTATCAAAATATATAATATCACAAACAGTGATACTAGTTATTACACTTGATACACGCCAGTTTTTTTTTAAAAAAATAAAATCTTTTGTACAAATAAGATATATTCAGTACTATGATTTATATATATTACGAACAATTAATTTCCCTTCAAAATATGAATTTTTTTTAAGTATCTACACACATGATACTATATTACTAAATTATATTAAATTAGAACTAAAAATAATTTGGTTGAAATTTCCGCAATTAATATTGATTAAAGTAAGTTTGAATAAGGATTATAAAATAAAGTAGTTGATACATAAATATAATGTCAAATTTAAATAGAGTTTAACAAAAAGTAAAGAATTGTATGATACAAAAAAAGAAAATTATACACGTAATTAAATTATGTATATGATACATGAAATATCAAAATATATAATATCACAAACAGTGATACTAGTTATTAAACTTGATACACACTATTTTTTTTTTAAAAATAATATCTTTTGTACACATAAGATATATTCAGTACTATGATTTATATATATTACGAACAATTATTTGCCTTCAAAATATGAAATTTTTTAAGTATCTACACACATGATACTATATTACTAAATTAAATTAAATTAGAACTGAAAATAATTTGGGTGAAATTTCCGCAATTAATATTGATTAAAGTAAGTTTGAGTAAGGATTATAAAATAAAGTATCTGATACATAAATATAATGTCAAATTTAAATAGAGTTTAACAAAAAATAAAGAATTAGAGAACACACTGCGAAATGATCAATGAAATTTATTGAATCAGAATCTCTGTGTAACAGTGGAACCAAATGCTACGCTATTACATTTATTTAAGGAACTCCTGAAACATAATCATTATGAATCTTTTGGAAAGAAAGTACATGTTCTTCTATTGTGACCTTCTTGTCCGCATCGTCCACAACAATTTGTGTTTCCGCTTAGCTTTTCATCTGCATTTTTCTTTCTTTTTTTTCTTAGTCTACCAGGCATTTTTTTGTATCTTGGTGGCAATACAACTTCTTCCAAAACACTTTTCGGAACTATCCAATCACTTTTGTCCGGCATTGGTTCCATTGGAACTGCATAGGTGTTTGCTAATGCATCAGGTTTATAGTAATCAGAATAGTATGGGTGTACATCTTTGATATTCTTCTTCTTAAGAACAGCCATTGCATGCGCACAAGGTATTTCATCATGCTGAAATCTACCACAAGAACATTTCTTTCTCTTAAGGCAAACGATGTATCTTATACCACCTTCATAAACTGAAAAAATGAATTCTGAAGATGCAACAACCTGCAATAGTTTTTAAAAAGTTACTGTTGGATTTTTTGATACAAAAAAAATCTTAAAATATTTAAGCAAGATACATATTATTTGATATATGAATAAATACCTTCATTTTCGAACATTTGGACGCATTTATAATCAATATCTCTTCAAATTTCCTCCCTAATGTTTCCTTTGTATAAGATGCTATTTCTCTATTTTTGCAGTTTCAAGAACCAAATAGAATTCTGGCTTCTTCCAAAAAGTCCAAAACAGGTAATTGCCGTGCATCAACAAGACAACCATTGATACATTCCGCAATGTTAGATGTCATCATTCTACCCCTATTCACGGTTGCATGAGATCTAGACCACCTTTCATAGCCAGCCTCTTCAAGATACTTTTTAACTCTGCCATCTACTTTTTCCACTTTAGCCATCAATTTTTCAAAATTCTTTTTCCGATAAGCCTTAGCCATCGAATAAAATAGATCACTTAGAGTGTTTTTACTTCTCTTGTAGTATGTACGAACATTTTTCCACAAGTGCCATATGCATGCAAAATGTGGAACATTTGTATAAACTATACTAACACTCTTAATTATGCTTTCGTTTCTATCAGAAACAACACACATTTTTTCTCTCTCACCAAATGCATTTTTGAACTGTGTGAAGAACCATGTCCATGAACAATCATTTTCCGTATCGAAGATCCCGTAAGCTAATGGTAATATGCAACCTTAACATAGTCAACACACAATATTAATGTACTTGATACATAATGTTGAAACAATGTTATTATTATCATTTTAAAAAAATTATAATTATGCAGCAACATGATATACCTGCCCCATCAAGAGTACTTGCGAATACAAACGTCCCTTTGTAAGCTCCACTAAGATGTGAACCATCAACAACAACAGGCCTACAGAACTCAAACCCTCTCATCAAAGGCCTTAAAGCAATGAATAGATACATAAATTCATTTTTTTCTGATTTGTGCATCCGTATATAAGAATTTGGATACACCGTTCCCAACATATGTATGTATCTTGGCATATTTTTATATGTATCTGCAGGATTGCTCCTTATCAACTCTAGTGCACGTTCTTTAGCACGCCATGCTTGCTGGTAAGAAATCTCAACACCATACATTTCCCTAACATCATCAATTATATCATTTGGAGTATGTTTTCGCTTATGATTTACCAATTTTGGAGCTGTAAAAGCACCAATAAATCCAACAATAGCTTGTACTTTACTTAATACCCTATCCCTTAATGGACATGTATGCTCACTGTTGAAGTATCTTACTTTGAATATATCAGTGTTTTTCCTAACAGACGTCTTTAATTTCCAACAACAATTCTCCGAATAACACTCTAAAACATAGCTGCAATTATACCAATATAAATTTGTTAGTTAGTACAAAAAATGTATACTTGAAACTTTAAGATTTGATACAAAATTTTTGATATTTACACACGTTCACAGACACGTCCATAACATTGATATGTGTATACCTTTTCTGATCCCATGTATCCAAGTTTCGTTATCTTCCAGTGAAATGAATACAAAATAAATTAAATTGTCACAATTATAATTCCATCTTTGACTTATACAAAATAAATTTTTAATTATCCAACACCAAGTGATATACTAACCATGTAAATAATCCAAATTTATCCAAAAATATCATTATCTAAAGTGTGTAAAGAAAAATCAAATATGAAATACTTATATACCTTTTTGTATCTGACCGTTTGACTCTAAAATTGAAGCTAGTTTTAATTTTGTATTTCATCATTACAGCCACAAGAGTTGCTTTATCCTTGTACAATTGTTTCGTCTTCACATTTGATATATTTGTATCCGATATATAATTTTCTTTCTCCATCTCGGTTATGTAACAAGAATCACCAATGTTTGATTCAACAACGTTTAGAGCATTAGCGTCTCTTTGTCCACCTTCAATACACATAATTGCACCACTGCTTGAATCAAAAATTTGTAACTCCTCTGTACTTTTATCATTTGTATCGATGCAAAGCGGATACATACTGAATCCAACCTCTTGCTTCTTTATTTCTATAAACAGCTTCACACCCATATCATTCCTAATTATCATCGGAGAAGAATTGCCCTCTACAATATATCGGATAATAATATTTTTTTTCAATTCATCAATATTTAATTCAGTAGCAATTGCTGAGATTAGATTCATATATGAAATATTTTCTCCAACCACTATCCCATCACTTTTGTACTGGTTGTATTTAACCTCACTCTCCCATATTCCTGAATGCCTTAGCAATATCGTAATATTCATTACGACCGGATACAAAATTACCTTCAACGAAAATTTGAATATGGTTTCTGCCAAAAAAATGGAAGATCATTAATCAAAATTAAAAATTTCGTTACTGCATAAAAGAAGAGAAGATGACTAATGACAAATTTTAAGGGAATATAACTGCTTTTAAAACACACAACTTAATGCCTTTATTTAAGGGAATAATAACCGTGGCACATAAAAAGTAGGCATTAATTTAAATTTCTATTTTTAATCCCCCTAATTACTCAACAAACGGATCCCCAAAATTTCTCAACAAACGGATAAAATGGAATACAATATAATGTATCTAAGTGTTTTATTATGTATCAGAAACTTATTAAAAATAAAGAATTTTTTGTAAATTTAAAAAGAGTAGGGATAGGAGGTAATTTATGTTTTACACTATGATTTATATAATTTTTACTTTAATTTTTACTGTCCCATCAGGTGTCGACTCAACAATAGAAATATCAGGATTTATATTATTTTTGGATGAGGTTGTCTCTTCAATTACCCACTCCTTAGGAAAGTCAATCTCATCCTATTTAATGGCTCTTCTAGTTATAACTTTATACTTACTTAAATTTGTTTCTATCAAAATCATTTCATTTTTAAAATGCATAATTTTACACATAAGGTTCAAATTATATAATGGTTTATAGTAAACTAGGTAATTTGTCCGCGCTTTGTGCGGTCATAAATATTAACTGCATTGAACTTGCAAATATTTTTTTACTAATATCCATACTTAAAAATAATGTGAAAATAGGTTCTTAAAAAAGTATTAGCAATATTCCAAAATGAATTTGATTATCTGTGACTATCACATAACTCAAGAACCTCTAATGGATGAATTATTCATGAAATAATAAATCATTTGTTCTTTAATCAATATTAAAAGGAAAATAAAGAAGAAAATAAGAATATATATACACAAAGGTATTTCGTAATTAAAAAAATAATTAATTTGCATAGATTATACAATTATGATGTGTGACTTAGGAGAAAATTCATTTTTTAACATATTAAAATAAATTACGCTTGATCATGAAATTATAACTTTTGAACTTCTATAATGAATTTCTTCAATTGATAAGTGAATATCTATGTAAAAACAGATAATATGTAAGCTTAAGTATAATACTTTTAAGTTATAAAATTTATATCTATGTAAAAATAGATAATATGTAAGCTTAAATATAATACTTTTAAGTTATAAAATTTAATATAGAATATCAAAACATAAATTCTTGGAACTGAGTACTATAATTATTTTCTGCACAATGAATATACGTACTATATATGTATATGTTCAATATGACCGAAGACAATGACTTTGCAAAAACATAAATAATAGAGTTTAAAACATGTATTAAAAAAATAATTAATATCATATGCATGAACTAATGAGTGTAAGAGAGCATACCAGTATATGTAAAAATATAATGAAATAGAAAAGAAAAATCGAGTCCAATGAATGAACATAGTCACCTTAAGAAAATTGTTCCCCTCCAATACTGGAGGTTTAAAGAATACATCCTCTCAGGATGGAACAATTTTATTCACCAACTTATTGATACAAAAACAGCGGTGTCAGTAAGTCATTCAACAGGAGCAAAGGACGCAAATATTTAATTTTGCGGAAGTAGAAAAAGATCAGAATTTTTGTTGTTTTAAAATGAGAAGAAATCTCTTCATTTATAGAAAACAAAGGGTAGTGTGAACAAATGTTTATAGTGTCTTATCAGAAAGGTTACAACTATTCAAAAAAGTTGCAACCCTTCGAAAAGTGAACACCTTTTTATAAAATATGCAGCTTTTTATAAAGTCACAACTATTTATTAAAGTCACAAACTTTCATAAAAGTCACAAAAAGAAGTCGCAACTCTTCATTAAAGTAACAACTTTTCATAAAAGTCACATTTTCTCATAAAAAAGGAAGGCTAATTTTGAAAAGGGAAAAGGGTCAAATATGCCCCTAAACTATTCAAAATTGTCTAGATATACCCTCAGTTTAAAGTTTGGTTCACTGATGCCCTCGTCATCCAACTTTTGGTCCAAATATGCCCTTATGGACGTTCGTTGCCACGTTGGATATATCCAACTCATTTTTTATTTCTTTAAATGCCACATGGAATTGCCATGTCATTTTGGCCTTACCACATAACATTTATATGAAAATGGAAAAATATTCGGACTCATAAACACCTAATCCGACCCATAAATCAACCCCTTTTAAATACATTATCCGACCAATTTTCAACAAATTTGTTTAATTTTTTTTTTGATAAATTTTGAAAATGAGTAATTGATAAATAAAAAAATAGGAAAATATGAAAAAAGTATAAAATTAACGCAAAAAATTCATAAATAATTATAGTAACATTAAATTCAATTTAAACATTTTTTTTAATTTTTTTGATAAATTCCGAAATAAGTAATTGATTAATAAAAAATATGAAAAAATTTTAACATTAACGCAAAATTTAAAAAATAAATACAGTAACCTTAAATTCAACAATTTCAATATTTTTTTAATTTTTAATTTTTTTGACAAATCCCAAAAATGAGTTTATTAACAAAAAATATAAAAAAATATAAAAATTACGCAAAAAATTCAGAAAATAAAAAATAGGAATATATGAAAAAATATAAAAAATAATTGTTGAAACTATTGAATTTAAGTTAACTATATTTATTTGTGAATTTTGACGTATATTTTTTATTTTATTTTCATATTTTTCCATTTTTATTAAAAAATTACTCATTTTCGGGATTTGCCAAAAAATATAACAAATTTTTAAAAAATGTAGATTGAAATGTTAATTTATATTTTTTTTATATTTTTTATTAATCAATTACTCATTTTCGAGATATATCAAAAACTAAAAAATCTATTTTTTTTTTGAAATGTTAGATTTAATGTTACTATATTTATTTGTGAATTTTTGGCATTAATTTTATATTTTTTTTTCATATTTTTTCTATTTTTTATTAATCAATTACTCATTTTCGGGATTTATCGCAATAATAAAAATTAAACAAAATTGCTAAAAATGGGTCGGATAGTGAATTTAATAGGAGATGATTATGGGTCGGATTAGATGTTTATGAATCCGAATATCTTTCCACTTCATATAAATGTTATGTGATAAGGTCAAAATGACATGTCAATTCCATGTGACATTTAAAGAAATGAAAAATGAGTTGGATATGTCCAACATGGCAACTAACGCCCATAAGGGCATATTTGGACCAAAAGTTGGATGGCGAGGGTATGAGTGAACCAAACTTTAAACGGAGGGTATATCTAGACCTTTTTGAATAATTTGGGGGCATATTTGACCCTTTTCCCTTTTGAAAATATAAATTTATAAGGAAATTCTTGCTTGTGGTGTTTCCATAGAGTTCTCTTTTATATAAATATATGATTATATAGCAAATACATATAACTCCAGTACCAAAAAAACCTATAACCATGCAATTTAATACTTAATATTAAAGCATTTAGTGAATTTTCATCATTCAATGAAATTTATAAACTAGGATATGCATTAAAATACACAGGGTCATAGGCCAAACTGTTTGAGTCGTCCCTATCAGGGTGTTTTTCTAATTCTTGTTCCTACCATCCCTTTATTAGCGCTCAGGTAAACCTTTTAAAGCGAGTGTCTTAAAAAAAATTTGCACCAAGCTAATGAGCCTACAAATCGGACTCATTTAGGGATATATTTTGATATGAATAGTATCCTTAATGCTTGTTTTGAATCAATTACGAATGAATAATCTTGATTTTCAGGTACTTTGAGTTTGAAGCAAAGCATGGACACTACTTGGCAAAAAAAAAAGAAAAAAGGATGAAAAGAACGAAGAAATGAAGGCTTCAGGATCGCTGAATCCACTTGGAGAATTGCCGATAAGTCTGAAGATTGAATTTTGTTTTGGTGTGCTAAGCACCAAAGGAAAGGATCAAACCGGCGATGAAAAGGAGCTGTCGCCGCATCACTAAGAACTTCCACGAAGTAGTAACTTATCGTCCAGTGATCCTGACACGAAGATGCTTGGACTAAGCGCAAGACGGTGATGAAGTTACCAAATGGAGAATCGCTTATTTGATCGGCGATTCTCACTAACTATGTCGAGTGATCCACAACAGCACTAATCTTTGAAAACTATATATACTTGTTGAGCGCTTTAGCTTATTATCGATTATCATCAGACTTTTATCGAATATTATTAGAGTTCTTCTAGTTTTTTTTAAATCATATTTTATTAGTTTAAGAACATTTTTGAGCTCTAAGTTTGAGAACGTTTTTGGAGAAGAACTTGAAGACTCAAAGGGTTTCATCTTAAGGATTTCAACTTGGGTCTCTTGTATTCTTCATTATTGGACTGTAACAAGCCTTAAATCTTCATACCCATTTGAAATGCACACTCATTTTGGTATAACTTTCTATATCTCATTCATGTTTAGCTAAAACCTAAATTTTTGGGGTGTGATTTGTGAATATGGGTTAACTTAGTTGTTGGGTCTTGCTTGTTGATAGTCTATTCGTAGTTTGAATGTGATTTCATTTAGTAGTTGTGTATGAATCTAATGAGGTTATAGTTGCAAATAAAATCTCATATACATATTTTCAACTTGCTCGAGAGAGAAGTCGAGAAACTAAGAATATTAAAGTGATGGTCTGTGGGAGCGGGTCGACATAAGGTTCAACTCGAGAGAGTGAAACCTAGTATCACACCGCAGACTCAGCTCGAGAGTGTGAGTGCTTAAGGTGGAGGCTATGCTTCATGCGGCAAGTCACTTGTCCGAGAGGAACCCATTTGAAACAATGTAAGTTGCTCGAAAGAGAGTGTATCCCCCTTAAATTCTAGCCTAGTCGCATTTAGTCTATAAAATTTCTATTAAAAGCATGTACCTAATAATCTTGTTTATCCCATATTCCTATCATATCCAAGGAATATCACTCTCCTTGATTTAGAACTCTTTGTTAACTTCATTGTTTTTACTTACTAGTTGTGATAAAACGCCCCACGATAATGACGCTTGTGTCACCCCC